GGGGGGGGGGGGGAGGGTTGAACTGCAATAGGTTGCACCCGTGCCTCAAAAGGGGTTGTTTTCTTTCTACCACTCCAGTGGAGGGAGCAGAGTTGAGGTGCTCCTTTTTCCTAGTCTAAGAAGGGTTGCTTGAGTTGTTCTCTCCAGTCCAGTTCAGAAACATTCCTTACCAACAAAGCAACCTCTCTTACCAGAGGTTGTCCTTTGGCATCTTATCTGTCCTCTCTGTCATGTGCTGGGCTTGACTGAAGGAGCTCTGGTTTTTTTCCCGCCAAGACTTGGTGGATCCATGACCCCCACTGCCGAGGAATCGTCCATTGACTGCATGGAACTTCTGTAAATTTGAAGAGGACTGCACCCGGCCATAGAGTTTGTTGAGAGGTCCATGTCGTCTCTCTAAGTAGGGGTTAAAGACACAATTAACCAAGGAGCTTGCAAGTGACTAGCCACTGCAAAGAACTTGTAAGATAGTCCTTGTACTGCAATTTGCAGGAAATAGACTTTGAGTCCAGTACTGGGCGGTTCCAACAGCAACCCAGTAACCAGGAATACCTTTTATTTAAGTAAACATGTTGTTATACCACCAGCATTTGTCATTCTGCATTGGTATACTTGCTGTTCCCAACTGTTCTCCAAAACCCCATCCTCCTTTACCAGCCATTAACAAAAGACGGCAAAACAAAATTTTGAAAGATCTACAGAGGTTTAAAAACATAGTGAGCAACATCAAAGTGCTACCTGGTTTGGCCTGTTGACCCCAATCTTCCTTGCAAATCTAAAGACAACATGCCCAAGTCAAAAGATTAAATGCAGACCCACCTTATTTCTGCATTTTACTTTAATGAATAATCTGGGATGTCTTTAGATCTGTTTTCTGACAGGTAGCTGTGTTAGTTTATGTTTGTCTGAAGAAGTAGACCACACTGAAATAAATCTGTTAACCTTAAACCAATACTTCCTCCTTCTGCCATTTTATATCTTGTGCTCTTTCTTTTAAAAATGGTTTATAGTCTGCTTAGGTTTTAAATACCATATTTTAGATACTCACCCACCCCCACCAAAAAAAAGACACCCAAGATTTCAGGAATCCTTTCTTCTAATCAAACTGGCACCCCATTCTTCTGTCTCCATCGGAAATTGCTTGATGAGAGTTAGTAGCAGGATCCAGAATAGGTTGTGTTATTCGCTAAGTCTTCAGGCATTCTCCAATTTATCAAGCCATGTACTGTTTGAGCTAACACTTTCTTCAGCCCATTGTAGCACCAGGTCGTATTGTGAGGACACCCTCCAAGACCTGTCATAAACAGTTTTATCCAAAAACAAGAACTACTCTCTCACACACACAATTGTTCTCTCCTACAAAATAGAGAGGATATAACCTATCCAGAGCCAATCAACCAGGACACAGGCCTTAAGTCCAGAGGGGCAATCAGAAACACTGGGAATCACTTTACTCTCAGCAGTTGCCACCAGCAACATATGTGTGTCGCTATTCTACTCCTCAAGACCTGATTCACAAGACCTCACAGGAAATCAACAACAACAACAAAAAACCCCAGAAATATTTCTCACTCTTCTTTTTTCTGCAATAGTATGGAAAATAATGTGCATAGGATTCCCATTCAGGCAAGAACCAGTACCAGATGTGCTTTGCCTCAGCCAGATTGCAGTATCATGTACCTTCAAAGTGTAGTCATGAAGAAATGACATCAGCTTATGCACCTGCTCACACCTCACTGCCAACCCCTCCCCCCAACAAAATGCAACTCTATCCCATCTTGACTTTTGGTCTCTTTTGCTTTCTGCTCAGCTACCTCTTTTGTTGACAGTTATGGATGGACAATACCACCAAAATCATGATTTCCTCTGAAGGCACAAAGCCGTAGGAAAAGGTTTAGAAGTAGATAAAGGAGATTTCCTACATTAGATTTCCCTGGCTGCATGTCTGCACATGCATGAGGAAAAGACTATCTCAGAACGGTCCACATGGCAAGAAGTATAGTAGAGATACTGAGGTTGCATGTGTGTTCATCGATACCAGCAATGTTTACCCTAAATGTTTATGGTTCTTAGCCAGAAGTCTTTGATGTCTTTTAACAAGAGCAACAGTCTTCAGCCTGACACCTTACAGATCTGTCATTATACAACTTCCATCCTCCCCCATCCAGCATGGCTGCTACATTTGCTATGAATCTATATCTCTCGCTCTCCCCCCCGCCCAGCTTATTTTTAAAAAGAGATTCAAACCAGTTTACAGTTACATAGAAGAAATGCAGTTAAAACATATACATCGTACCAAATTGAAAACACAGTTTAAAAACACTCCAGCCAGACACCAAACTAAATAACCCCTTCCACAGCAAGTTGCCAGCTTATCCTCCCTCAATAGGGAATTTCAGGGAGGGTAGAGTTTGCAGTCCATAACATGTATTTAAAGCTCCAGATTGAAGATGGGAAAACTACAGAAATGTCAACTCAGAAATTCCTGACACGTAAATTAGCTGGTTTACCACAGAATTAGGAGGTTCCATTAAGATGCAGTTTGTTGCAGTTCACATATCTCACCATTCAGATGTGCATGACTCTGCCCATTTACCAACTGCCTCCCTATATTCATTCTCAAAACACCACTAACAAAACATACCTATTGAAATGATACTAACATGACCAAAATTTGTCATTCGCCTCACAGGCTACTGTCTTCCCATGAATTTAACCAAAGCTTGGTTCCCTTTTTTGATCATAACTCCCGGAATTTGGGATTCTGAGAGCAGAACTATCCCATGGTCTGAGCTTTCTTATTCACAAAGAAGTGGTTTAAGGCAGGAAGACCTTTCCCCAATTTTTCAGGAGAAGACCAAGACAAGGGCCTTTCACACAGAGGCTGCCTGAGGTGGGAGCAAGCAGCCCTACCCACAGCTCTCCCTGAGAGGCCACAGACATTCAATTGGCATGTTGGCTGCCTAGCTTACCGCAGTGCTTCTGAAAGGCTTGAGGTTTGACCACTTGGCCACAATGGTTACACACCACCAGGTAGAACTCATCATGAGCAGGGCAGTGACCAAAGATAGACATGTCTGAAAGGACAAGAGATGCGAGTGATGAGAGTGTGCCCCTGGAGGAGCCCTGTATAACTCTGTCAGTTCTTCACGTCAATCAAACCCATTTATGCTGACCAAGACAAAAAGAAAGGCACAACCTCTGTTGGCAGTGAGTTGTATAAGGAGAGGAAATGGACTAGGGAGCTAAGAAGTCCATGTTGCACTTCTGCCATGTCTAGTGGGTGGCATGGAACATGTGTCACACTTTCAGCCTCTGTTTTGTAAATGCAAAACAACAGTACTTCCAAGCCGCCTGCCTTAAAGGTATGTAAGGTCAAGGAAGTCATGTTTACTAAAGTGTCTCGTTCACTTGCTCATACAAGGAGTTTCCAGAGAGAGGCCTTTCCTGGCAATGTTACCCACCTATGAATCCAGAAAAATTAGTTGTTGGACTACAACTCCCAGAAATCTCCAGCTCTTAGCCATGTTGGCTGAAGGATTCAGGGAGTAATGCAAAAAAGTAACTCTTCTGAGTTCTGTACTGAGTCAAGATTAGTGGTTAATCTAGCCAGATGCTCTCTATTCTGTTGGCCATCCAAGATCCTTCAACCACAAATGCTCAGCTTGGACATGTTATTCTTAGGACTACAACACCCAGAATCCCTCTGCCAATGTAGCCAGTCACAATATGGGGCATTCTGGAAGCTGCAGCCCTCCGCCCCACAACGCCCAAGATCTAGAAGTGCTGGGGATAAAATCCAGGCCTTTACACATTTAAAACATAGGTTCCATTATCTAGCTCAGGGGAGCACTTTGATACGAGCTGGGAAACCAGACGGTTGGCAATCCAACAACAGATATTTGGATGCTAATGTGTGCATGATTATTTTGACACACAACAAGCATCAAAACTTACCTTCCAAAATGGATGCCTTGTTTAGCAAAGTTAGTCTCTGAGGATTATAGCTTCCCACAACCAACACAGTGGTTCTGAAACAGCCTATTCCTCTCAGGCCCAAGGCAAACAAAAAGATGCCTGACCCACTGGCTATGGTGATGGGTGGCAGGCTATTAAGACACTGCTATAAACTCTATAAACTTTGACAGCAGGCAGCTCCACCTCCCAGTACAGCTTGGGGGGGATGGCAGAAAATGAAAACAAAGGGCCACAGACAGACTGGGAAGTAATGAAAAGACCTAGGCCAAAAGGGCAGGGAGGGCAGAGGAAAGCAGCCAAAGAGCATGGAGTGATGAGACTCAACTAACGACAGAAAGCCTGAGGGCTTGACTTCTTTGGATTGAGAGAAAAAAGGAGGGCAGAAGGAAGAGCAGAAGCTCCTCTGAAAACTCTGATCTAGAAGTTCAGCAAGAAGAACGGGCAGCAGTTCACATTTCCAAGAGCTCTGCTATAGAGAAACAGAAGGGGGTCTTTATGATGTGTTTAGAAAGGGAATGGCTCAATTTAGGAAAATGACAGGTGAACATACAAAAATCCACAAGACATTATTATAGAAGTCAACACTTCTTTTCTGCCAATACATGTTCCCCACCACCATCACCACCACTTCTACCCCATCTAAAAATGGCACATCCCTCAGAAAGGCAACACACAAGAGCAGATTCTTCCAATATCTCATTTGAGTACGCCAAATGATTACACAAAGTATATTTTCCTAACTATTAACACTGAGAAATTAGAGTGTGGAGAAGTATCTGCAAGGTATATTAGACTACAATGTCTATGGGCCTCAATTGCCTACTAACTCAGGCTGTTGTAGTCCTACTTGTCTGGTAAGCCCTAGGTTGGAGAAGGGTGGAATGGAAGTTTATTCTTTCTGGCAAAATTTCTTCAAGGAATCACACTCAGTAACATTCACTTGGGATGACCTGATGAACACATTTTGTTGCTGGCTTTGCATGATTGATACTGAAGGTCAGGAAAGAATGCCTACAATGGAAAAGAGGCAGTAACATTTTGGGCTCCCCTTTGCAGCTTGAGACATTTGCCCAAGTCATTTGGAGCCATCTTTCTGCAAGCCTGTTTCACACCAGGTCTTGGTTTCCTTCTGGAGAGATACATCATCATCTAGATCAATGGTTCTTAACCTTTGTTACTCAGATGTTTTTGAACTGCAACTCCCAGAAACCCCAGTCAGGACAGCTGGTGGTGAAGGCTTCTGGGAGTTGCAGTCCAAAACTCCTGAGTAACCCAAGGTTAAGAACCAGTGGTCTAGATCATATAGAATAATCAAAAGGACAGCCTTTGTGCAGGATATGGTGGGAAGTCAAAGGCTCTGATCAGAAACCTTCCGTTTTCGTACAATTAAAACTATGCTGACAGAATCATAACAGGAGTATTTCCCAAACAAAAAAAGTGACTGCATATAAGGAATCATAGCTTTGATTAACCTGAAGCTCTTTCTAAATCCTGGCAATGAATCATCTGGTTTGTGGAAGGGTTCTAAAAGACCATGTCAGGACTCAAAACAAAACTCACAATTCTATTTATGCTCTAAGGAAAATACAATTTATTCGAAATTAAGTTTGGCAGTGTGTTGTTGCAAATGTGACTTCCTGATTCTAATTCAGAATCCCTGCCCATCACTATACTGTTGCAATTGTATTATATTTTAAACAACTTACAGTTTATGATGGCTTTTAAGTGTTGTTAGTGTAATGAAAAGATGAGAAGAGTGGGATACATATAAGCTTTTTATTTGTGCATAGATAAATGAATAAAATAAATTATAGGAGTCTTCTTCCACTAGACCCCGAAGACATGGTCAAGGCCTAAAACCTATGAACCCACCTTTCAGAAAGGGCAGAAGAGAAACCGTGAGAATGCCACTACCAAATGAACAATGCTAGCCACTGCTACCATCCACAGTGTAGCAGAACTGAGAATGTCTCTGTTAAATCACAGAAACACAATTTCTGTGTTGGTCCTACATAGTCAAACTCTTCTTTTCCTGGCTCATCTAACAACCAGAGAGACTATAGCTGGCCACAGACTGCACTAAGATAGTCACTCTTTTCACTATGGACACCTCACTACTGCACTATTAAAAAAATCGAAGTGCTTTCTTTAGCAGAAATGACAAGTCTGTATGGGCTGAGTGAAGGATCACCTGCTGTGTGAGAATGCTGGGGCTACCACTCCAGATAGGCAGACACAATAGTGTCCCAGCTGCCCTTTTCTCTGGGCCCCTGCCCCCCCCCGCCAAAGCATTCACAAATGCAGAACAGCCCGTTCAGAGCAAGAGACTCTACAGCTCAAGTCAGACCATATGGCTCAGTCTGTTCTTACCTTCTTTGATAAGGGTCATTGCATCCAGCTTCTTGCTCCCATTCCGACTGTTTTCTTCAAGTTCAGCTCCTGGTAGATAAAAACAAAACAAAAGTTGCCATCAGCAACACTTTGGGGATCATTCACCAAAACTAATTAGAACCTATCACATCCAGATGTCTTTAGATCCACTTTCCTCCTTACTGTGTGATTTTAAGTGTGCGTACTTAGATGTAATTCATGCTGGGTGCCTAACAGGACTCACAACAGAGTGAACATGATCAGAGTTATAGCCTTAAAGTACTTACAGTGTCCTGCAAGGAATTTAGCCACTGAATATTATATTGCAGGGCTGGGAGTTGTGTAGTCTTCCAAATGCTAGGGAACTACAACTCCCACCATCTTTTACTAGTGCTATGGAGAAACACATATTCCCCAGTCCTGTTCTAGCAAGTTCGCAATCTCACCTTCTCCAAATCTGCCATGTACTGCTAGGCCAATAACGTTGTTACACAGAGTTCAATAGGTTGATCTGTAAGACATAGTGTGGCAGGACAATGGCACCCGAAACGCCACAGACCAGGCTTTTCTTTTTCCAACCCTTCAAACTCTTGAAAAGTGCCTTCCGCTTACATGGGATTGATCTCATTATGATGATAATTATTACATTTGTATCCTACTCTTCCTCCACATGAGCTTGCGAGGTGATTATGTGGAAGTTGCCCTATTTTTATCTTCAGAACAATCCTCTGAAAATGGTTGGGCTAAGTGTGTGACTTGCCCAAGGTCATCCAGCAAGCGGGGGGGGGGGGGGGAGAGAGAGAGAGAGATGACAATCGTTCTTCTCCTAGGACTAGTATGGCAGTTCTTAAAGTTGCCAGGAGAACAGGAATCCCTACAAATCAACCTCCATTAAATATGGCAGATGTACCAGAGCTTCTAAAAACATACAGTAGTGGCTTCTCTAAATCTCAGACGCCACTGCTTGCTGTTTCAGCAAAATTGTCCTGCCAATCTGTATCAATCAAGAGGTGGCTGGAAGACAATGACAGGCATAGAGCACCATCCATGGACTGCTTTGCAAATTACAGAGATGTGGCCACAGGGTAGAAATGTGGCTCTCTGGCTCTCTCTCAAGTCCTGTCGAGAGTAAGCACTTCAAAACGCTTATTTTTCATTTCAAAGGAAAGCATTCAAATTGCACAGTCCACCAGAATTCTGTATGCGCATGTGTGCACACGCACACTCAAGAGAATACACTTGCATGGTAAAGGATAAGAGGACACATTCTCCATCTCTCTCTCTTTCTTCTGCTACCTTTTGCATACGTTATCTCTACTCTGCTAGTCAGGAATGCAAACACAGAAACACTGAGATGGACTTTAAAATGAAAGACCCAAATTCTAAGTTAAACAGAATCCACTGTATTTCAGCTGCTGAAACCAAACACTTGCTGATGCCAAATTATCACTCGTGTCATGATCTAAACTAGAATAGCTTGTCCTGGAAACACGTTAATATTTATAAGCTTTTCATTACAGCAGGAGTATTTTCTTATTATGCTGCTAGTACAGGCGAGAATAATACGGCTTGTAACTTAATCCCAACATGTACATAAGAAATCAAACACATGGGTTTCAGAACTAATCCTTTCCTTAACTCTTTCCACCTGGGCATCACTTTCCATCATGTAATACCCACCAGCCTCTGGGACAGTTGGTCAAATGCTACAAATTGGGGGAAACAAGGCAAAAGCAGCCACTCGGACTCAAAATTAACAGTGTGAGCAAGTAACAGAGCTGCTTCTCAAAGTCCTGACTCCCCTGCCTTAACCATGGCACTATATTCCACTTGCATCTAATCAAATGCACACCACATGGTGCCCTCCCGAAGACAAGATATACCTGTTAGAAAACATCAACTGATTCACCATCAAGACACAAAGCAAAAATCCAAAATCGTTTACATCTTTATTTTTGCTCTGACATCCAAAAAAGAATCATTGATTTCTCAAAAATGTAACAGGAAGGGAAGATCCACCTACCTACCTAGATTCCCACACTGAAACCTGTCAGGGACAAAGTAGGGGCGAAAGGTGAGATCCAAGCAAGCTTTCCTCCCTTATGGGATCATTCATTTCATATCTATAGGCAAGAAATAAATGAAATGGTCCATTTAAGACTGCAATGGAAGCGGTTTCCAAAGGAAAATGTACAACCTGCTTCAAAATCCCTGGAAACACCCCCCCAGCATCATTATGCAAACTCTGCTGGAGCTGGAAGTAGATCAGGAAACATACCAAGCACAAACTATATCAAGCGCAAAGGGAAGAGAATGGAGGGGGAAGGGAGAAACTCAATATAAAAAGCATCACCGGGGACAGCTCCGCTGAGTCTCGCCGCCCCTTCTGGAGTCTGTTGTCAGGCTGCACTTGAGAAAGTCAAACATTCTAGGGAGGTGCTCCTGAACAATTTCTGGCATTACAAGGGCAAAGGCTTCACTGGGCCAATACTTTCACCCACCCTCTCCATACACAGACACCACCATCCCCTTGGAAAGAGAGGGCAAACACAGCAAGGCACAAAACAGAACTGAGCAGAAAAACCATGGAGAGGTTGGATCTGGATATAAAGGAGGAAGATTCACTATTCTGAAGCGGAGGGGGATTGGAAATTCTAGTGGATGGGAAATTTAGTGGCCAGGTCAGCAGCAGTGCAAAGTCAGCTTTAGTATGGGGAGGGGGGGGGAGAAGAAGAAGGTGCAAGGAACACAAAGCAGATGAATGGGCGGGACCCATTTTAGTGGCCTAGGAAAAGATCTAAACAGAAATGGAACAACTTGAAGAAAAGGAAATCCAGACATACAACACAGTTGGTCGAACAGCACCCAATATAGACTGCTGGTGATATTTTAAAGGCAGTGGCTGAGATTTGATGTGATTTAAAGATCAGGAAAAATAGGGGAACAGAGGTTGTTAAGAGTTCAAAGGCCAATTGTAAAAATTTGCAGGGAGAGAGAAAGAACATGATCATCCAGAAGATGTCATGATATCCAGAGTATCAAAAATCAAGAAAGCCTGTGGTATCACAATGGCCTCTTAATTTTCTGCACAGCTTTTAACAAAACTAGAAAAAAAGTAATATATACAAGTGAAAAGGAAGAACTCGCCAATGAAAAAAAGGCAGACAATAAGAACTCAAGGATCACAGGAGGTCAAACCGAGAGCTCTGGGATCCTAAATTGGAGGATAATGATAGTGACAATAATATAAGGGATTTCAGAGATAAGAGTGGCTCCAAAAATAGAAGACATTAAAAAGTCTATGGAACGTTCTGAATATGGCTTAATAAACCATACTTAGGAGGAAAGGGATCAACATAAGGTCGAGAGTCACAATCACACGGGAACTGACGTATACGTGGAATTCACTGGAAAAAAAGGATCCTGACAGGTTTCATGAAAGTCCCAGTATGCACCCTGGTTCGACCAGGGATGGAAGAGAGCATCCAATCAGGGACATGGGAGATTCCAGGGAATCTGGTTTTAGTAGCAGGAGGAAACACACATCAGGCTAGAAACTCGGCGGCGCTAGGACCCGGCGGCTCCTTTGTTTGGGGCGGGCGGAGGAAGGGAGGGATTGAGGGAGGAAGCGCGGCGGCGGCAGCAGAAACGGCGACGGAGTGTTCCCTGCTTTCCCCAGCCGCCTCCCGCCGTCTACGGGTTAACGAGCGGGTCAGGCGCGCTCACCTGTCTCGGCAGCAGGCGGCCCAGCTCTCTCCACCCAGGCACTCCAGCTCTGCCCCGCGAAATCATCGAGACTCGGCAGCCGCCGATCCACAGCAGCCATTGCTGCTGCTGCTACCGCCGCCGCGCGTCCACGCACCGCCATCACCGCACGAGAACGCGCAAGCCCTCCCCGCTGGTGGCGAGCTGGTGCGCAGGCGCGGCGCACGCCATGCACCTCGGGAAACGTAGTCTTCAGATCTCGTGGCGCCTTTGCTCTGCGCACGTAAAAGAGCAGCCGCGGGCGCGAGAGCGGTTCGCTGGAACCGTTACACGTACTTGTCTTCCCTCCCCCACACGTACTCCTGATTTAACCTCCTCCGTCTCTACAACGAATCTTAGTCGCGAGAAAGAACAGCTCAAGAATCCTGACGGAGTAGTAGAGTGAAGAATCGTGCAGGCTCTAGCATTTTCCTCAGCAGACAGCGAAATGCCTCCATCGTGTGAAAGCAGCCATCCTTGCTGCTGGAGTTGCTCCCACGCCGCCCAGCAACTGATTTATAGAGGTATACTGCCTCTAAGCATGGATGCTCCGTTTATAGATGATGGCCACTAGTTGTCTCTGCTATCATTTTTACAACCGCTGAAACATACAACGTACCTGTTCTGTCAGAGATCCCTTTCAGTGTGGCGCAGTTCCTTCAGTTGATCTGAATATACAGCGGACAGATTTTATTTCATGACCAACAAGTCTAACCATGTAATCACCAGGTGTAGTTACAGTGTGGAATTAGGACTGTGGAGACCTGGTTTCAAACTACGTAGTAGGGCTAGGGAATGCCTCTGTAAATTGCTTGGAATAATAATTACAATCATGTGCGATCAAGTCCGTTTTGATTTCATGGTGACCCTTTTCAGAGTTTTCCAGGTAAGAGAAGTGGTTTCCCATTCCCTTCTTCAGGGGACGTCCTAGGACTGTGCAGCTTGCCCAAGGCGGCACAGGCTGGTTCCTCTCCCTGGAGGCCCAGTGAGGAATTGAACTCTCAGCCTCTGGTCAGACCTAACTCACTGAGCTATCCAGCCAGTTGCTTTGAAGAAAGGCAACATAAATGTCATAAATACAAATAAAGAGGGGAAAGAAAATCGTCTTCACTTCCTCCTATTTGTGGACACTACACCAGCCAAGGTCCTTCAGCCAGCATGACCGGTGCTGTTTTTCAGACTCTGAAATGCTTCCCAATACAGCATTGTTAAACAAAGTGTTGCCAACCATTCAACATTCCATCCTCACCCACCTCATACAATGTAGAAATACACTATAAGGTTACTTTTGGCTGGGAATAGCAGCACACAGAAGTGGGGTATATCCTGTAATGGACAAGTTGGGATAAAATTTAGCCCACACACTAGGTGAGCAACTTGCAACCAAATTAAAATTATTTTGAGCAACGCCAGGTGTGGGCATCTGAAGCCCACACCTTTGACTTTAGTCTGCAGCTTCATTTTGAATCTTAGGGTACAACTACATGGGCATTTGTCCCACAGTTTAGTCCTGGATGGATGGATGGGATGGTTTGCTGCTTTTGCTATTGAACACACAAAGTAAGTGTGAGTGTGAGCCTATCACCAGAGAGTTCCTATCCACACCTTTTTGGTTCCCTGTCAGGGGCTACTCCTTTTTAGGTGCAGGGAGGATAGCTTCATTTTAATTAATGTCCAGCAGATGCAGTGGCTGGGATTGAACCAAAACAGAGTTGCTGCTTTCAGTTTCCCATTATCATTAAGTGGCTTAAACAGACAGCTTGCCACTTAATGATACTAGGAATTTTAAAACTTATTTTACTTCTATGTGTAGGGTAAGAGGGAGGAAGCAAAGGTTCAGATTTTCAAAAAAAAATCTATTGAGGCAATACTTGTGCACTGTACCTTTTAAAAAATGAAAATGAAAGCTGCTGCTTGAAAGGAGGAACCAAGAAGGGGATTTTTTTTGTTTGCTTCTTTTCTTTTCTTTAAAGGGAAGTAGGCCAACTAGGATCACTTGAGATGCATATGCCATTTGGATACAATTGCACCAAATGGCATACCATTCTACACAACCTTAAGTGATCGTATTTAGTCCACTCCAATTGACCACCTAGAGAGCCCTTACGTTCAGCCAAGGAACCTGGTACAGTAGCTATATCTATGATTTTTGGAATGTTTGTGTTTTCCTGACACCCAGCCTGATGAAGACCTGTATGGGGTCAAAACTTAGTTTACGATTGGACTTTTTTAGTAGTCTAGTAAAGGTATCACCCACTCACTTTTTAATCCTTCCATTTTTTTGTATTTTTTAGTTCCTTCACATGTGCCCTTCAGAGATTTATAGTCTTTTTTTGATTCCTTGGCTGCAGTCTCCATTTGCATTGATGATTGAAGCAAGGAATACTGTATAACATTTCTATTTCATTTTTTGTGTGTGTGCGCAGTGTTAATACAGTATTATGTAGTTCTTCCTCTTCTTGGTATATAGGCATTCTTCCTCTTCTTGATATTTAATTGCAGTCCTGATTTTGGATTTTCTTCTTTCATTAGGAATCATTTTAAGTCATCGTTGCTTTCTGCTAGTAATATGGTTTCATTTATGTATCCTAAATTACTGGTGTTTCTTCTAACAGTTTTCACTCTTCCTTCTGTATCTAATCCAGTTTTCCCAATGCTATATTCTACATATAACTGAACAAATAGAAAGCTTGAACACTCCCTTGTCTGACACCTTTTCCTTTCCATATTGTTCTTCATACTGTAATCTTCTGAATAAGGAGGAATATGGAGAAGATATCAGAAGGAAATTTGAACTAAGATTAATAGAGGAATATCTTATTTGCTCAGAATAAAATAATGATAAGATGGAAACAATGTGCAGAGCAGCTATACCAAATAAATATAAAGATGGGAGATTAATTGTATAGCCTGTAATTTTAGAATATGAACCAAAAGCTGATCAAACTAACTGAAAGAAATAAATCAACAGGAATAGAATGGATACCAGTAATACTGTACAGTTTAAAGCTACAGAAACTGAATATGTCAAAATCCTAACAGAAATATGCTCCCCTTCCCTCCAAAAGGGGCGGGGGGACAAACAGTGGTGTACAGACTGGAAACAGTGACTAAAAGCAGGCAATGTAGTTATGCCACATAAATCCACTGGTGTCATCAGCCATGGTCATATTTTGGTAATTAAAAGTTTCCTATCCTCCACCTCCAAGGTTCCTAAGCTCCCTTGGGTACTGGGGAAGCCTTGGAGACAGTAGACAGAGGCAGCTTTTAAGACTCCATCCTATGCCCCCCCCACAAGGCTTCCCTAGGAATAAACGCCTAGGGATGTGGTGGTGCTGCGGGTTAAACCGCAGAAGCCTCTGTACTGCAAGATCAGAAGACCTGCAGTTGTAAGACCAAATCCATGCGACGGAGTGAGCTCCTGTCACTTGTCCCAGCTCCCACCAACCTAGCAGTGTGAAAGTATGCAAATGCAAGTAGATAAATAGGTACCACCACAGTGGGAAGGTAACAGCACTCCATGTCTAGTCGTGCTGGCCACGTGACCATGGAAGATTGTCTTCGAACAAACACTAGCTCTGTGGGTTGGAAATGGAGATGAGCACCGCCCCCTAGAGCCCGACATGACTGGACAAATTGTCAAGGGGAACCTTTACCTTAAGGGAGCCTAGGAAGGTTTTTTTCGGAGGGGGAAATAAACTTTTAATCAACAAAATATGGCTGCAGTTGATTTTGTCATCAGACTTAGCGTAACTTTACATTACTGCATTTCAGCCACTGATTATACATTCTAATCCCAAAGAAAGGAGATGCAAAAGACTGCAGTAACTGTAGAACCACTGCATTAATATCGCATGCAAGTAAAGTGATCCTTGAGATTTTACGTACGGTTAAAAAAAAGTACCCTACATGGAGCAAAAAATGCTAGATGTTCAAGCTAGATTTTTTTAAAAAGAATATCATATTGGATATCATATTGCATATCATATTGCAAATACATTTTAGGTATCAGGGTGAGTAAAATAATGTTAAAAGAAAATCAGTTTGTGCTTTATAGAGTACAGTAAAGCCTTTGACAGGGCAGATCATGAAAAGGTAGCAGTTTATAAGAAATGGGTGTGCCACAACTTTTTATAGTTCCGATGTGCAACATGTACTCTGAACAAGAGGCTACTTTGAGGGCTAATATGAAGGAAAATTTGTTTGCAATAGGCAAATCTGTCTCAGAAATAAGTGTTTTATTTCCCTACCAATGTAGCATAAATAGTAGTGTTGGACTGGAACTCAGGAGCTTTGGGTTAAAATCCATACTTGGCCATGGAAACTCATGGGCTGAAATCTTGTTGCATACGGTAAGTTATGCCTGTGGAAATTAAAGACTGGTGGGGGCAATTTTCAGTAATTCAGAACTTCCTACTAGAATCATGTGGCTTTTCCAACTTCTGTATAACCTTTTCCATCACATGGGAGGTGTGGGTAGAAGGAGGAGGTCTTTAATTATCTAAATTCTTCTCTTCTAGCAATGTCATCTGCCAGCAGTAATTTTCTATAAATATTTCTTCTGTCCACCCCATGGCTCCACACAATTAAATAGATTACGTACATAGCCATCAGAAAGGCTGTGGGACAAAAGTAGGAATTTTTAATTACCAAAAATTGCTGCCTGCTAGCGGAAAGTGAGGAGGAATTAAAGAACCTCTTAATGAAGGTGAAAGAGGAGAGCGCAAATATGGTCTGAAGCTGAGCATCAAAAAAACGAAGATCATGGCCACTGGTCCCATCACCTCCTGGCAAATAGAAGGGGAAGATATGGAGGCAGTGACAGATTTTACCTTCTTGGGTTCCAGATGGTGACAACAGCCATGAAATTAAAAGATGCCTGCTTCTTGGGAGGAAAGTGATGACAAACCTAGACAGCATCTTAAAAAGCAGAGACATCAGCTTGCCAACAACGGTCCGCATAGTCAAAGCCATGGTTTTTCCATTAGCAATGTATGAAAGTGAGAGCTGGATCATAAAGAAGGCTGACCACTGAAGAATTGATGCTTTTGAATTGTGGTGCTGGAGGAGACTCTTGAGAGTCCCCTGGACTGCAAAGAGAACAAACCTATCCATTTTGAAGCAAATCAACCCTGAGTGCTCTCTGGAAGAAAAGATCCTGAAGCTGAGGCTCCAATACTTTGGCCATCTCATGAGAAGAGAAGACTCCCT